TATATATGTATATATGTATATGTGTATATATATATGTATATATGTATATGTGTATATATACGTATATATACGTATATATACATATACGTATATGTATATGCGTGTATGTATGTGTGTATATATGTATGTGTGTATGTATATATGTATGTGTGTATGTATATATGTATGTATATATGTGTGTATGTATATATGTGTGTATGTATGTATATATGTGTGTATATATGTATGTATGTATATATGTGTGTATGTTTTTATATATATACATGTATGTATGTATGTTTTTATATATATACACACGTGTCCTCCTCAGTGCGCTCCTTCGGTACAGAGGACCGGCCCACCGACCGGCCCATCCCCCCTCGAGACGACACCTTTGAATACATCATCTTCAGAGGCAGCGACATCAAGGACCTGACCGTCTGTGAGCCGCCCAAACCCACCTGTTCTCTTCCTCAGGACCCGGCCATCGTCCAGGTAAACCACACACACCTGGACCTTGACTGAGTGTTCAGTCCCAGATGTTCTCAGTGTGACTCTTAACTGTCTCCTCCTCAGTCCTCCATGAGCTCCAGCTGCTCGTCCTCCACCGCCCCCCCGACCCCCTTCCAGTCCGCCGGCTCCTACGGCCTCTTCAACCGGCCTCCGGTTCCCAACTACAACCAGTTCAGCACCAGCCCGCTGGTGTCTCCCCAGTTTGGACCCGTTGGTGTTGGTGAGTTCTTCTCTGGTGTTACAGCTGAGCTTTAGATCTGAGGGTTCAGGGTCCGTCTGTGGCTTTAAGGACTTCCTGTTCCTCCTCCTACCTGTACAGGAGCAATGCATCATGGGTATTAGAGTTGTGTTGATGCTTTAGACTCCATTTATTTCCTTCATATAAGTATTAAAGTTGTGTGTCTGAGCTTCCAGAAGATGTTTGGAGGAGAAACCAACAGAGGTTATTGTTGAAATATTCATTTCCGCTAGTAGTTTAAATAACAACACAGGAGGGAGGAGCTACAATAATGTAGCTGCTGCTCCTCCATACAGGACCGACCGCCGTGGTCCTCCGTACGGGACCGACCGCCGGGGTCCAGATCAGCCTCCAGCTATCAGAGTCAAAGTGTCTCTGATTTGTTGTCACATGACTGTTGGTCTCAGATGAATCAATCATGACTTCATAGTTTCACTGAGGAGCTCACACTTTAATGTTTTTACACAATCTGGTTAAAGGAAATGGTTTATTTTCAATGAGAACATATCGAATAAAATGTTCTTGATGAAATATCACAATTTAAAGCTTAGTTTTGGCTTCTTTTTCTGTTGGAAGCGTGTATCATCACACATGATGTGTTCAAGGACCGTCTGAAAGATGAAACCCTGACAATAATGAAGATCTTCACAGATTCTAGTTGTGATAAATGGTGTTTTGGTGATTGTTTAAAGAAAAGATGCTTCTCAATCCCACTGGTGGGTTTGGAGGGTTCAGAGTTTTAAACCTACAGACTTTGGTGTAAAATCTTAAAGCAGTTCGATTTTGTCATTGTGACATGTTGTGGTACATTAAATGTATCTTCATCATCACCCCCCCCCCCCCCAGGACGTAGCAGCCCCAGTCTGGACCCTCTGAGGAAGAGCCCCATCCTGGACCAGGTGAACCAGGTGATCCAGAGCGCCCCATTGGCTCCGACCGCCGCCACTCCGGCCCCTGGTCTGGGACGCAGAAGCCCCCCCCACGCTCGTACGGCCCCTACCACCGCCGGCCTGAAGGTCCAGCACCAGGACGGCGTGGACCCGAGGAGGGCTGAGACCATCAGAGGGGGGGGGCGCAGCAGTAACCAAAGCTGGTCTGCTCCCAGAACCGTCTCCTCCTCCCACCTCACTGCTGTAGACAGGAACCCCCCTACAGGACTCAACCACTCGGTCTTCAGCCACCCAGGTGAGACCCAGACCTCCTCAGACCAGTACCCTACAAAACCCTCATGTGGACTCACTGCTGAGCTCACAGGGGATGTTTTAAACCTGAAGACATCAAGCAGATCTTTGTGGTAAAAAACATCCCTGTGACTCAGGAGGCGGGTCCAAAATAGAGCTGTGTGATTGGCTAACGTTTATGTTCCAGAGGTCCTGCCCCCTTTTAAAAAGGTAGGAGACAGGTTTGTTTATGTTGTTCTGGGAGACTAAAAGACGTCCAGAAGGTCCCGGACCGTCTGAAGGCGGAGGAACCGCTTAACGTTTTCTTCTTCTTCTTCCTGTTTGCTCAGTGGCTGCTGGAGCTCCGGCTAACAGGCGCGGTCGAGGGGGCGGTCACCGCGGCCGAGGGCGCTTCAACGTCCGGAGAGATGGACCAATGAAGTTTGAGAAGGACTTTGACTTTGAGACAGCCAACGCTCAGTTCAACAAGGAGGAGATCGACCGGGAGTTCCAGAGCAAGCTGAAGCTGAAAGGTCTGTTCGTCTTCATTGAAACATCTCGACTGCTATGGGATGTCTTCATGGAAAGATCTCGACTGCTATGGGATGTCTTCATGGAAAGATCTCGACTGCTGTGGGATGTCTTCATGGAAAGATCTCGACTGCTGTGGGATGTCTTCAT